GTGAGAACACGCTAGAGTGAGGGGGGCCCCCAAGTCGAAGCTCGCTTAGGGCCCCCAAAAGTCTAGGGCCGGCCCTGATGGGCAGCATAGACAGGTATTTTCTGTGTTAGAGTTTTACTCGCTACAGGGTGTACTTTGAGGGTTTTTGACTCTGCAAACCGTTTACTTGCAAAAAAAGCTACACAAGGGGACGTGTACCGGAAAAGCATGCATGGGACCTTTAAAGCTATACAGGCTGGGCGTGGGCAATGAATGAGCACTAGGCGGCGGTAATGCATCTAATGTTGCTGTTGGTTCCCGGATGCCATTAAAACAAACGAAGAAGAAGAACGCCCATTTTGCTCGCATGCATCGAATTGAGCTGAATTATCATCAGACATAAAAAGACAACGAGCTGCAATGGACGGGTAAATGCCTTTTTTATTGCAATGAATGCTTCTAGTTACATTTCTTACAGCTGTGCTTGGATATGAACTTAAGTGACTGCCCCACGTGCTTCATTTAAGGGATGCTACCTGTTAGCTCAGCTGCGAACCTTGATACTGTAAACCACGAAGAACATGACGTACAAGCCCCACAAAGAAATGCGGTCGACTAATGTTGTTTTGCTTGCAGAGAACAGTAAACTTATGGTAGGACACGGTTAAATGGCATTTAACGTATCATATGGTTCTCCTGACGGCAAAGTCATAGGAAGCAAGGTAGTTGCCAAAAAGCTGTTACTGTAGTTTAGCATCACCTTCTCTCGTGCGCCAGTTACCGTTAGCCTGAGATGAATGTACAATAGTTAACGGTTCCTGTTAGGTTGAATGTTTGTGTGATAAAGCAGTTATTATTTAAGTTGGTGTAACAGTAAAGCAAAACAGCAGCTATGTGATAGTGATGCCATCTCTGACATGGTACGCGCACCTGTCAGTTAATTAAAGTCCTTTGTCTGGAGCTTACGTCACAAAAAGTTATTTACCATTAAGCAGAAGGTGATCTCCGTTACAAAATAATGAAACGACACATGGCAATTACATGTATCAGCTAGAGGCAAAAACAACTGATTTATTATAACTCTTGCACATGTGTGGCGTAATTTTAAATACGGAATTATAATACATTGTGATCAGAGGTGAAAGAAGTACTCGGTACCAGATTGTAGGAATACTCTGCTACAAGTCCTGCATTCAAAATGTAAGTTAAGTAAAAGTAGAAAAGTATTAGCATCAAAATATAGTTAAAGTGGCTAAAGTAAAAGTAGTCATTTTGCAGATTGGTCCATTTCAGAATAATATATGTGATATGTTTTATAATGATTGATCATAAAGTGTTCTCAAAGCTGGTTGTAAAGATGATGAATCTGCAGAAACTGAACCTCTCGTTTGTTTTGAGATCAAAGAGGGAATATTGTGTTTATTTACTATTATGATTCATTATAAATGTATGAAGCCATTTGGCGTCATCTTTAATTCATGGCTGCTCATCTGGAGGAATTCAAGGAGACGAATAAAGAAGTTTTTTTATTTTTCTAATAAAGTTTAAAGTACCTTCTCATTAAAGTGGATTTCCACAAACTTCCCGAAGCGGCTGCTGTTGTTGTTTCGGACCGTTTTGGCGTTCCCGAAAGCTTCCAGCAGCGGATTGGCTGCAGGGAAACAGAGGAGCGTCACACACACACACACACACACTGATTTTCCTTCGGGGAGCCTGTCAGGTCTCTCTCCTGACAGTTAAGTCAGAGTTGAGTGAGTCGGTACGGAGGTGTTTACGACTCACTGCAAACATTAGAAAATAAGAGAAGACAACTCCAAATGATTCTGTGTCACGAATAGAAAGTGTATTTCAAATTCCCCACAAAACAAACCCTCATCCCACAGCTCACAATTAAATCCAAAAAGGTCCACTTGGGGTTTTCTATAACAGAAATATGTAATGCTCCACAAAAAAAAGCAACGTTCAAAAGTAACCGAGGTGGATACCCATAATGTAGGAAACAAACCAAATAAATATAACAGTCAATTTTACCCACGGGAGAATGTCTGTCAGTCAGTCCATCCATACTGAGGAAATAATCTAACTGTATTTATTTAACAAGAAGAAGAAGAAGAAGAAGTGGTCGTACCTTCCACTATCCTCTCGTCGATGTCCTGCCCCGTCCCGTACGAGGATGTTAAATATCTGAGAGGAGAAACAAAAAATAGATAACAAGGAGTTTTGAAAATGCACCGTCATGTTTACCCTGAGCACCAACTTGGTATATCTGAATTTGAGTGCGTTCACACCGGACGCGGTGCGACTTTTGGGCGTGTCGTGATTCCGTGTAAAGTCAATGCAAAGACGCGGATGATGCGACTGAAGGAGGCGTCAATCCCAAGAGTTACATTTTTTCAACTTGAGCGTCAATTCGCGTGACGTGTTCTCGCGTTAGCCAATCAGCGGTCAGCCTTCTGACGTTGAACCAGAAAACATCAGCGTTAGCGTTAGCTGTTAGCACTCAGAGCTCACAGCTCCTCATATCTGTTCAGAAACTGGACAGAAGTTAAACACGAACCAAACACAGACTGTCTGTGTCTTTACTTCTGTCTGTAGGATGTTGTTGTGAGTGTGGACGGAGCAGCTACATGTTAGCTTAGCCTGATCGATCACGTGAAAAACACGCATTTTAAAAAGGTTTCATCTTCCATCCTGCGTACACACACACATTAATAGCATTTACAAACCGGTATCAGTATGTTGTCACTTCGGCATCATTTTGAAACGTGTAATAAACGTGTGATAAATAAATCACAGTAAAATGTGTTCATTTTGTTGTAGTTGGTACCACAGTATCTAAATGGAGATAAGCCCCGCCTCCTCGTTGTCCTGTTGAGGCGAGGAAACACAGCTGACAGCCGCCGTGAAACTCGAGCGATTCGAGGCTTGGCGTGAACGCAGCACACGAGACGTCATGCTTACCTGAGCACGAACTTGGTGTTCTCCGTCTTCCCGGCTCCAGACTCTCCGGAGACGATGATGGACTGACTCATCTTCAGGACCCTCATGTCCCTGTACGCCTTATCAGCTGACACACACACACACACACACACACACACACACACAGTCAGAGACACACACACAGTCAGAGACACACACACACACACACACACACACACAAAAGTCATTAACTTGTCACACACCAGGGAAATGTAGAGAGTTACAGCAAGCACTGACATATGTAGGCATCAGTGTAAGGGTGTGTGTGTGTGTGTGTGTGTGTGTGTGTGTGTGTGTGTGTGTGTGTGTGTGTGTGTGTGTGTGTCTCTCTCACCTATAGCATAGACATGAGGCGGCAGAGTTCCCAGAGATCGTCCTCTGTACTTCTGGATGGTTTCCGGTGAGTAAAGCTTTGGGATGTCATAGTATGGATTCACTGCGATCAGGATGTTAGCTACGAACGTCTGGAGGAGGAAGAGGAAGAGGAAGAGGAAGGAGGAAGAAGGAAACAATTCCACATTATCATGCTATGTGTATAACCTGTGGTCTCCTACATTTCATACAATCCTAAAGCAAAAATAATGGTTTAAAATTCCTGCTTTTAGCAAAAAGAGTGAAATAAATAAATATTTGTTTTGAAGGAGAGCCGGTGCATGACTCCTTAATAACTTCTCTGTATTAACACATTTATAAAGACACACATTTCTGTATGAAAAAGTAAAAAAGGAGGCCTCTTATAGATCTCTATTGAACAGAGACAGTTCCCTCTTCAGCCACTAGATGTCAGCGTGCACTCAGGAATAACATCATGTCACATAATCAAGATCAGAAGAAAACTGAGTGAGTGAGTGAGTGAGTGAGTGAGTGAGTGAGTGAGTGAGTGAGTGAGTGAGTGAGTGAGTGAGTGAGTGAGTGAGTGAGTGAGTGAGTGAGTGAGTGTGTGAGTGTCATATTCAGAAAGCCAGGATATTAGTGGAAAATGTTTTGACCGTGAAGTCGCTCTTAATTATTAAACATAATAATAACGGTCAGATTTACTGCAGAGTATATATTTATATATATTTATAGATATTTGTATCCGAGTTGAATAATCGTAAAAACATAAAGAAGGTCTTTCTTTGCTTCTGGAGACACGACAGGATCTGAAGACTCACGTAGATCTTCTCTTTGCTGTATCTCACTCTGACGTTATTCAGCAGCGTCGCTTCATTCAAGTACATCAGAGAGCCTGGGGAACAGAGCGTGACATGGAGGTCAAACACAGACTTAGAAATAAGTTATTTACTCATAAATATTATATAACACTATGCCTTTCACTTTTATCAAATACAGCCTTAATAAACACTGATTTAAGCAAAAAAACGTCTATGAATAATCACAGAAAAGGACATTTATGAGAAGTTATATTCTTAAAAGCAGCAGAAATGTTCCTTTGAATCAGATGTAAAACGTATGTCCGATGCAACAAGGCTG